TTATTAATTTGTTTTTGAATTGCAAATTAATTACAGATTTGACTCAAACCTTGAACTCTGTGAAGCAACGTACGGTCCAATAGTTACCATCACATAGTTTGGGAGCAGAGGAATTGTCCGACACTGTTTTAGAAAACATACAAAATGGTGACAAAATAATAACTTCCTGAAATACGATTGACAGTCAAAGTATTTTTGACTGAAGTAAACAAGTCAGACTTTCACTGGCAGTAAAGTAAAGGTGTGCTGGATCTCTGGACAGAACCTGAGGATGGTCCACCACGTAACAGACGATTCACATGTAAATCAGTGGAAGGTCTTTTCACAGCACACATGATGTCGGACTTCAGTGGATGAATGATTTGTGTTTCCTCTGCAGGTGAAGGTTCTGCAGGTGAGTTCAGCAGCATGGACCGACAGAAGGGAGACCCTGAAAGTTCTCTGTGTGGGGAACCAGAGGACCAGAGCAAAGCTCAGAGGTGAGAGCACCGTCTCTAACTGTCCACGAGTCTTCTGCATNTCTAAATAGCCATTTGAAATGAAAAAAACAAAAAATACACATAGAAATGTGCTTATTTTGAGGCTATTTGCTTTGTGAAATCGTATTGAAGGTTTTTGTTTAAATGTTTAATGTCAGACATCTGTGTAGAATTGATTAAGCTTGACTTGTCCTCCAAAACACAGTCAATAGAATTATTTTTGCTTTTTTTCTCCTTTTAATGTTTAAAAAAAGTATATATATATATATATAAACAAACATATATCTGTTTTTAGTTTATGTCACCTATTATGATATTTAACAAGTTGACTTAATGACGTACACATTTATTGTCAATAAACCAAACAAAAATGCAGATAGACGGCTGTTGTTTCTTTGCAGATTCGTACGCCACACTGTCAACAGAAGCTAAATATACTGAAGTACATTAATGACTATTGTAGAGCACAACAGATGAAGCTCATAGTCACCTGTAATCAAGTTTAGATCAAGTTGAAGTCACTTCAGTACTGCTGTAACTCAGCCACTAGAGGGAGTCCCACTCAATGTCACAATGTCACGTTGTGTCACACAGGATCCAAGTGATGATGCTTCATGTCTCACTTTGTTAATAAAAAAAAATCACTATATTACAACTCAGTGCAGTAAATAGAGCTGTTCTTGTTCTAACTTTTTAACTTACTTTGTGAAAGTACGAAATGAGAACAAGCTGACATTCTGTTCTTAATGCAACTGCAAATGCAACTCTTAGCAACCAAGTTAAACTACAGAAAGTAGAATTATGGGTGGACTAAACCTTTAAAATTCTAAGTACTTGGACATGAAGTAGTATTTTGGGTGGAATCATCCTTTAAAACCACCAGCGTTGCTCCTCAGTGATCATCCGTGACTGCAGGGGGCGCTGTCTCGGACAAAAGCCTTTGAACTAGCGGTCCTACAGGTGAGTCCTGTTACCTGTCCACGGTCCTGTTACCTGTCCACGGTCCTTTCTGCTTGGTGCAGGGTTTGTTGCAGCTGGTTTTCTCCAGGTGAAGGTAAGAAACTCAGATTTTCATGTCAAACAGCAGCAGAACTTGGTGGCTGGTCTGGGTGTCAAGTTGGACTGACAAAATACTAAAAAGGAGAAAAGCTATATTTAATATAAAGTTATAAACGTGGATGTTAACCTCATTCAAACTGATTTGAATTTGAATGTGAGTAATATTAATGATGATAATAAAAATAATGAAATAGCGACTTAGATCCTGGTTCAACCACTTCACAGAACCGTCAGAGTCAGAAGCGAATTTCAAAAAGCCTCCCTGAGAAAAAGCTGCTCTGGGCGGCTACTGTGAGCGCTGAGCTCCGGTCACAGCCGGCCAACCGGGACGCTCACATATCGGTTCAACACATTTTTAATCAGACTTTATGTTGATGAAACGACCACAGATTTGCCTTTTATACAGCTTCTTTCTCGCCTAAAATAATCTTTAAACTACATTTTGTGTCACAACAACAGGACAGCTGAGTCAGCTGACCTTTGCCTCTAGCAGGTACTAAAAGCTTTGTGGGAGTCCAGAGTCCACACAGCTCAGGTGTGGTGATAAAACTCTTACCTCCTCTGTGTTTCACATGAACCACTTCAGACCTTTTTCTAGCAGTTGAACCAGTTTTAAAGGAGCAGTTCAACTTACATCACGTCACTTTCTGCTGTTAAGAAGTGACTGCATTAACCCCACTGTGACTGAATTCACGACAGTCATGTTGTTGTTTTTACGATTATTCTCATCGTCAGTCCATCAGTTGATTCATTTCTGGTTTAATTGATTCGTCTTTTTAGTTTGTGAAAATCTCAGAAAACATTAAAAAGAATTTTGATTTTCTGTTTTTCAAAGCTCTGAATTAACATCCTTACAAGTCTTGTTTTGTCCACAGTCCAAAGCTAGTCTGTTTACTTTGTCTTTTAAAAATGACTCATGGAGGATAATCAGTTGATGTAATAACTTACATGTGAGCATTCTGAGATAAATTATGTTTATGTTTGACAGTTTTTTATTTACTTCTCTATTTATCTACATAATTATATATTTGAGTCTGTTTAATGTACAGTTTCTCACTTTATTTATTATCATATCTCTATCTCCATTTTACTAACATATTTTATTACCTTATTTTATTTCATTATTGTCTTCTCTGGTGTTTCCTTATTACCTGATATAAACGTGATAGCGTCAGATTGTCAGTCCCTGCGTTTTATTCCCAACATGACCTTGGATGTCGGAGGTTGCTTTTACTTTTTTATTGCAGTTTTTTTTTTGTCTGTTATCTGCATTAACAAACCTTTATAACCAGATGACTGTTCTGTCCTGCATCTCACCTCCTCTTTCTGTTTCGCTGCAATTCAGAGAAAAGGGGGCGGGGGCCAAGAATTTGCAAAACCAAAGTTGGATCCGTTTAAAGTTAGATTTTGTCGTTTGGGNAAAAAAAAGCTGTAAAAGAAAAATAAATTCTTCAAAAATTAAAACACTTTGTCACCTGCCTGACAAAAAACAATAATATTATATTATCGTTAACTGCATTTCTTTGCTTTCTGCGTCTGTAGTCTTTTAAAGATTACTTTTTATTTTAATTATTGTTGTTGTTGTTGCACAAAACAGATCATGTTATTTTTTTACGTGTGAAGTCACATTAAGGTCACTGACGTTCATACGTTTGTGTTTCGGTCAAACAACGTTACATAAATACTTTCCACCGTAGAACCTGACGTCTTGGGCACCGCGCCCTGGTTTTAATCCTCCTCTTCACAATAAATCATGGCATTGTGTTTTTAAAAAAAGATCCAGGACGAACCGGTGCGTCTGGTTTTGTTCTCCCAGGTGATCTGTCAGCTGCAGGTATTTCTGAGACATGACAGCTTCTCAACGCAGACATCCACCGTGACAGGACGCTGAAAAGTCAGAGCGCTCTCATAAGTCAACAGGTAAACTTATTTATTTGTTTGTTTGTTTGTTTTTTGACCCCAAAAGGTCAGTCTAAATGAGGACATTTCCTGTGTTATACATTGATCATCATACAAGGTAAATAGAAGTTTTATTTAGAAAGTACATGGTTCCTTTTAACTCACAACAACTTCACTTTAACTGTATTTTGTAAGAATGAATGGACCTAAAAGAAGAGTTGCACTTTTAAAATCTCATTAAATATACGTTGCAGATACGTTATGACGCGCAGGAGATATTGTAATTTGAGCAAACTCACATGCACTCATGTGTTTATTATTATCCACAAAGATTCAGTTTTCTATTCATGTGTGTCTGGTATCTAGTCTGTGTGGTAATTATTATGAAACATAATGAGTTTGTTGAGGGCAAATCAGCTTTTTTCGATGCTCTAAGGTGTAAATATAACACTGTAGCTGTCAGGTTTCATTCGGTTGTCTGGGACGAAACCACAACAAATTACGTCTTTCCTAAAAATGACTTGAAAGTTGATGGCAACACGATGAAGCGAACAGCTAGCCTCACAGAAAACTAGTGTGAACTGTACGGTTTCCTTGTATGTGATCAGATGTGACAGTAATTAGAGCTATAATAAGAACTCTACTTCCTCCTGTAGGCTCCACCATGTCGTCTAAACTGGTCATCAGGCAGCCTCAGCCAGTCATGGATTCCCGAGACTCTGAGGAGTGGGGATCTGGGATATGTGACTGCTGTGACGATGTGCCCGAGTGTAAGTCACCTTTAGCTGTCCTCACACAGGTGCTGGACGAGGAACTAATACTACTATTACTATAGTATCGTAGGTGTTGGTAGTACAGTACAGTACAGTACAGTTCAGTACAGTACAGTACAACATAGTATAGTACAGCATAGTACGGTATAGTATAGTATAGTATAGTATAGTATAGTATAGTATAGTATAGTATAGTTTAATGTAGTATGGTACAACATAGTGTAGGATAGTATAGTATAGTGTAGTGTAGTGTAGTGTAGTGTAGTGTAGTGTAGTGTAGTATAGTATAGTAGGTGTTGGTAGTACAGAATAGTATGTGTTAGTAGTATAGTATAGTATAGTATAGTATAGTATAGTATAGTATAGTATAGCATAGCATAGCATCGTTTAATGTAGTATAGTACAACATAGTATAGTATAGTATAGTATAGTATAGTTTAATGTAGTATGGTACAACATAGTGTAGGATAGTATAGTATAGTGTAGTGTAGTGTAGTGTAGTATAGTATAGTAGGTGTCAGTAGTGTAGTATACTGTGGTACAGTATTAGGTTTTAGTCCAACATAATGTAGTATAAAACATGACCGATCATTTTTACTTTAATCTCATAAAGGAAAGCTACACTCTAATGTAAAGGATTGTAAAGGTGAAGAACTCGAAACGACAGAAAAGATAATTTAATCATTTCCTCATATCTTCATTTGTAGCTCTCCTAGTCTTATCTCATCTTTTTTCTTTTCCGGCTGTTTTTCCCGCCTCAGGCTGTTTTGCTTTCTGGTGCTGCCCCTGTTTCGCCTGTATAACCACCAAAGCTTACGGTCAGTGTCTCTGCCTCCCCCTGCTGGACATCTTTGGCGCCATCCCGCCCATCACCATGTCCATGAGGGTCTCCATGCGGCAGCGATACGGCATCAAGGTAAGTTTTTATTCTTGTTCTTATTTTGTTCTCAGCAAGAACCCTGTCTATTTCATTTGTTCTCCCACTTGGCTGGCAGCTGAGCACTTCATGAGTGAGAACTTCTCCCCTCAGCTACACAGTGGTTGATTTGTTGATTTTCAACCTTATATTGGGGTTTTTCTTGTTTGTTTTTATTTCTTTAGTTTGGAGCAGATCTCCTGAAACCACAGAAAATCCCCAGTGTAGAAAATTCACCTCAACAACAACCCCAAAGGCTCTAGTATAGTGTAGTCTAACAGTATAGTACAGTGTAGCATAGCGTAGCACATTATGGCATAGTATAGTATAGTACAGCATAACATAGGATAGCATAGCATAGCATGGCGTAGTACAGTAGAGTATAGCAAAATGTGTTCAGTTATTGCTTGTTTTAGGCACTGTAACTGTAATTTGATCAGCTTGACGTGGCTGTTTGCTCTGCAGGGCACCATGTGTCGGGACTGCGTCTACGCAACCTGCTGTACGTCCTGCACCTGGTGTCAGATGTCCAGAGAGATGAAGAGAAGAAAAATCCCAATCGTTCTGGTCAGCGCCAAAAACACATGACCTGTCTCCTCAGTCACCAGCAGGGCTGCCACACGGTTCGATAAACCGCAGTCTGCACGGCGCGCCAATAACTTTGAACTGCAGCCCTTTGAGAGAGAATCGTGAAACATCGGTTCATGGAGCGTCACTGACTGAAAATCTGTAACATAACGCCTGTAATGTAGCTTTATGAGGGTTAGCTGGGATGCTAACGTGTTGAATGGAGCATCAGAAATGATTGCTCCCAAATGATTGTTTTGTAAATGTATTATGAACAGAGTTCAATATTAGTTTTTCCCTCTGAGACAAAAGCAAACCAACAAATGACCTGTTTATAGCAATTGTCTATGTGAGCATCTCATTATCTGGGCGTCTCTGTTTAATAAAAATAGTTAAAAAAGAAAAAAAAAAAAAGTCTGGAAATAAAATCTGCTTTGTACATTTTTTTTAAACATGCATTTCTATTTTTTTTATTTCTATTATTTTTATATCTAGCACTATTTTTAATGTCTGGTGGCTATTTAGAATTAATTTAACTGAATTAGTCACATGGATATATTTTTTGGGGGGTTTTGGTTCCTTCCCATCGTTGCCAGCATCTTGCTCAGAGGAAGTCCAGAGGCTNAATCTGATGCCATTTTCCTCAAAAATACACACTTTGAAGTACATCAAAGTTATTAAAACCAATCCAGTGTATCTACTGAACAACTGAACAGCCATGTAGTGCATTAAAAAGGCATTTCTGCATCCAAGCTTCATGTTTTTATAAAAAAAAAAAGTTTATATCCTTTTTTACACTACATAGCATAACATCGTACATTTATGTATACTAAGTTGCAGTATAATGTAGTTTAGTATCAACCCAGTCTCATGGCAAGTCGTTAAATAGTCACGAAATTTAATCTATTGTTTCGTGTCATGGGACATGATTTACACGACTTTTTCGTGTTCCCCAGCACGAATTTCAAACCAATACATTTCAATTGGAATTGTCTTTCATGTCTGGGACACTTTTTTCCCCATCAAACAGCGCATATACTGTGATGCTTTTGTCTTTCTTTTCTTCCCACAGTCAGGCATTAACCAATTACATAGTAATAGTTATTAGTGTGGACGGGCCATAGCAGTAAAATTGGTTAAAAACATCACAGTATATGTGCTGTCTGATGGGGAAAAAATGTGTCCCAGAAATGAAAGATAATTCCAATTGAAATGTATTGGTTTGAAATTTGTGCTGGGGAACACGAAAAAGTCAGGCAAATCGTGTCCCAGGACACGAAACAAAAGATAAAATTTCGTGACTATTTAATGAATTGCCGTGAGACTGGGTTGATAGTATAGTATAGTATAGTATAGTTATGAACCTTGTTTCCCTTCATGGTAGTCTTCCTCTCTATTTACCAGAATCCGTAAGAGACTAAACTCCAACAAACCTGAACCTGGACCTGAACCCAGCTGTGTGTCCTTTAAGAGCGACCAGTCATTGGGTCGCCTCATTGATTATAAAGAACATCAACCTCCTGCCATTAAGAAGTAAGTTGTAAAACACTCTCCTTTATGACTGTTGATGATATTTATCTTGGTATGTTTTCATCACATGTAATTTAAGTGTGAAGTCCCAATCTGATGCCATTTTCCTCAAAAATACACACTTTGAAGTACATCAAAGTTATTAAAACCAATCCAGTGTATCTACTGAACAACTGAACAGCCATGTAGTGCATTAAAAAGGCATTTCTGCATCCAAGCTTCATGTTTTTTTTGTGTTCATTTTCTTTTTGATGCTACATAGCATAGCACCATGCATTTAAGTACACTATGTTATAGTATAGTATAGTATAGTATAGTATATTAAAGAAGAGTATAGTCCACTCTGTTCATGTTCATAACATAGAAGCTTATGAACCTTGTTTCCCTTCATGGTGGTCTTCCTCTCTGTTTACCAGAATCTGTAAGATTTATGGCCAAACATGTGTGTTGGGATGTAGGGACTCTGTAGATTGGACTTGTTCTCCTGCATCATGTAAATGCTTAATCAGATCAGGATCTGGACAGTTTGGAGGCCTTGTCAGCACCTTGTACTCTTGGTTGTGTTCCTCGAGTTGTTCCTGAGCAGATCTCTGTCCTGACACAAGAGGTTGTGAGTGATGTTGCTATGGAGGGATGTATTTGGTCTGCAGCAATATGTAGGTTTCAACTGCAGGAGCTCGGGGCAGGTGTGAAGTGGCGCAAACATTTATGAATTCATCTCAGGCAGTGGGGGACAAGACGAGCAATATGGTAGGCTACTAAACTTATCAGAAGAGGGCATATGAGTGTGGGTTTCTTCACTGAGTGCTCAAAATACAAGTACCTTATGTTTGTCTGAATTCAGAACTAGCCCAGCTAGTGACTGCTGTGAACAGGGTAGCTGACAACTAAATGGTAAATGGGCTGCACTTCACAACTTTGGGTTCAGTGTCTTGCCCAAGGACACTTCGACTGTGGAGGGCTGGGGAATCGAACCACCAACCTTGTGATTATAGAACAACCACTCACCACCCGAGCCACAGTCGCCCCAAGGAGGGAAAGTCCATGTCACAACTTGGAAAGACAGCCGACGGGAGGGAATAGACCCCACTGGGGCTCGCATGGGTTAGCGCCCCAACACAGCAGTGACAACTCACTGCTGTGTTGGTTACAACCAAACATGGTACAACCAATACGGGAATAATACCCCTGGAGTCTACTAGAGGAGAGGTGGAAGATGACTCACAGGAAGATTACACGGCTACAGACCATGGAACGGACAAGACTATACACTGGAAGAACAAGCTAGTGGAAGACAGGGGCATGGACCGATCCTCCCAAACAAGAACTCCAGACAACAGCAAGTAGGATGAGAGCATTAATAGAGAGCCGCAGTAGAATGATTGAAGAAAGGAAGCTGCAGATTTGTCCTTGTGGCTGACAGAAAGCAAAGGCCTTAGAACGCATCAAGGGAGGAAGAAGTGTGTGATAAAGGTAGTGCAGAGTCGCTGCATCGATCAGTGCTTCTTGAGAAGTCAGTTGGCATCGACTGAAGTCCAGCGACAGGTGGAAAGCCACAGTTCGCAGGATATCAGTGACCCTGTCACATCCCTAGGGGGTGGCGCTGTAGAAGGCGATGCAGATGGTACTGACGCCAGCCTGCCAGCCAGAGAGAGGAGCTGTGGGCAACAACCTGAAGTTAGATGGCCAAGGGCAAATGACAGAAAACATTGGGATACAGTAAATAGGCATCTGATAGTGTTGTTAGATGGGCTAAGGAGTCAAGCCCTCGAAAGGGTGCTAATGATTGGGAGGTGCAGGTAGATTTGGGAGGAAAACTTTTGGCACCACACGGGATAGTTTGCGCAAACCTCATTCCTGACATAGTGCTATGGTCAATTAGTCAGTGGAAAGTCTGCAGTCAGAACACGCTCAAATGTTTAGGTTGCTCAGGTTCAGCTTGTGTTTGTCCTTGTGTAGATAGAGATACTGTGAGCTAACTGTTGATGTTTGGTCCACAGAGCCAAATGGGAGAGCTCAGAGGTTCCCAGTGCTCAGTCTGTGGAGCATCATCACCTGGACTCCATTTTCATGGTGTGTACCACAACTACTGTTCCGTTGTCTACACAGGCATCTCCACGCTGCACTTTGTAGAAAACTAGCCTGTCACTGTGTCCAACATGGATCTGATGTTTGACTCCATATCTTCAATCTGGTTTTCAGCTGCTGGAGGAAAACATTGTCAGTTTTGTGAAGAAGGAGCTCAGGAAGATCCAAATGGTTCTGAGTGAAAATTACCCAGAATGCTCAGCGAGTCAGGGTGAGGATGAAGAGCAGAGGAGCAGCAGAGAGATGTTTCATCAGATCACAGAGCACTTCCTGAGAAGGATGAAGCAGGAGCAGCTGGCTGAGCGTCTGCAGAGCAGTAAGAGGATTTCTCTAGACATAAAACCTTAACAGCACATTTACTAAAGAGATGCACCAGAATATGTTCACATGCTCCGTGTTTAGGTGAATGGACTGTTGCAATATTTACTGTGTAATTTACTTAGTGATGTTAAATGTTGTGTTTTCACTCAGAACTCATCGCTCCAATTTGTGGACGTAAACTTAAATCTAAGCTTAAGGAGAAGTTCCAGAGAGTGTTTGAGGGCATCGCTAAACCAGGACAGCCAACCCTCCTGAATGAGATCTACACAGAGCTGCACATCACAGAGGGAGGGACTGCAGAGGTCAATGAGGAACATGAGGTCAGACAGATTGAAGCAGCAGCCAGGAACCCAAACAAAGCAGAAATAAGCATCAGACAAGAAGACATCTTTAACGACCCATCTGGAAGAGACCAACCAATCAGAACAGTGATGACAAAGGGAGTGGCTGGCATCGGGAAAACAGTGTTGACTAAGAAGTTCATGCTGGACTGGGCTGAAGACAAAACCAACAAGGACATCCAGTTCATGTTTCCATTCAAGTTCAGAGAGCTGAATGTGTTGAAAGAGAAAAA